TCTCTCTCTCTCTCTCTCTCTCTCTCTCTCTCTCTCTCTCTCTCTCTTATTCTCACTTTCTCTGTCTCTACTTCTATCTCTATCTATATCACCTATATCTATATCTATGTTTATATCTATATCCTTAAATACTGTCAGCTTAGTCCATTGAATATGATTTGTAAATACAGTATGTCTGATATTCTGTACATTAGGGAGAACAATAGTCACACTTTTCCTTTTGAATGAATGAGTTTAAAAAGTATACAACAAGGAAAGAAAAATAAAACATTTAATGAGTAAATGGTAGATAAATCGATGATAGACAGACAGACTGAACAAATATAGACAGAAAACAAATGCAGAACATTAGTTCAGGTACTAAAATGTCCAACTCTGATTTTCTAGGGTAACTAACTTAGGGCAGCTATCTGGACTTCCTCTCTGAAATTCTTCTTGTATGATGCTTCTAAATAATAGAATAGAGAGTGAGAGAAGAGATCACATAATCAAACCAGATGCTATCAATTTCCAGCAGGAACTGACTAGAAAAGTTGAAACAATAGGCTGAAGTTTCTAGTTGTGTTTCCCACCCTCACCTCCTGTAGATAAGTTTGCTGTGACTCGTATTTCAGCTGTTTTTTTTTTCCTTTCCAGTAATCCAGATGGTGAACTCAGGCTAACTGCCTGAATATGCTTCCTCAGTTTCTGTGGAATATCTGTATACAAAGTTAATGATGTTACCTTTCTGTTATTTTTGTTTTTTATGTGGAAGCCTCATGCAATGGGACACAGCTCATCCTTTCAACCTCAGCTGGCTGCAATAAAATAGTTTGCCTCATTTATATCTTCAGGTTGTTATCAGCAGTAAATTTGATAATATTTTGTCATCTTTCTATCATCGATCTATCTATCTATCTATCTATCTATCTATCTATCATCTATCTATCTATTCATCTATCTATCTATCCATCTATCTATTCATCTTTCATCTATCTCTATATATCATCTATCTATTATAATCTATCATCTATTTCTATCTATCATCTATTTATCTATCTGTCATCTATCTTTCATCTATCTTTCTATCATCTCTATCATCTTGCAATTGTAAAAGAATCTTAATTCTTTTTTACTCTTTCATGGAAAAGAGATGCTTATCTTATGCAATATATGTTGATTACAAGTTTCCTCTTTCTTTATGCCTCCAAGTTCCTCCCTCCCTCCTCTCCCATCCAGACCCACTCCCTTTCTGTCCAAAATAGGGTAAGTTTCTAAGACAGAACAAGTAAACATTACTGTATAAAACATAAACTACCACATTGAATTTGGATAAGGGAGCTACAGAAGGAAATGAACCCAAGAGAACACACAAGAAGCAGAAAAGCATTTACTCATATACTTAGGAGTCCCTCAAAAATACTAAACTAACACTATAATATATACACAGAGGACATGGTATAGACCCATTCAGTGGCTATGCATGATGCTTCAGTCTCTAGAAGTTGCTATGACGTTTACTCTGTTGATTTGGAGAGCCTTGTTCTCCTGGGACCCTGTATCCTTTTGGGCTCTTTACATTCTTGCTACCTCTTCTGTCAGTTTTCCTGAATTCTGAGGGAAAGGGTTTGATGGATATACCCAATTTGGAGGCTAGTGTCCCAAGGTCTCCCTGTTGCACCAAACCTTTCTACCTGCCTCTTCTCTCTCTCTCTCCGTGTGTGTGTGTGTGTGTGTGTGTGTGTGTGTGTGTAATATGTGGCTGTTGGTATGTCTAATTGTTCACACCTGATGTACGAGGAAGCTACTCTTGTCATCACTGAATAAAGTGCTCATTGACCAGTATAGCAGAAAATAATTGGAAAAAAATTCATTCTTTTTCTCAAGAACAGTATTATTTGTTTCTACACTAGCTCTTTGGACTTTAGTCTCTGGTTCTCAATCACCCAACCAATATTGGGTATGGGATTCATCTCATGGTGTGGGCCTTATTTCAAATCAGATGTTGACTAGTTACACTAACAAGCTGAATGCCACCATTGCCCTGTCATATTTGACAGGCAGGATAGCATTTCTCATTAAAGGTTTGGGAACTGGGTTGGTGAATATGTTTCTGTTTTGGTAGCTTGAAGAATACTTCCCTCTACCGATATCCCTAGGACATCGGGATGAGAGATTTTTGAATCCACCAGCTTATCCTTTCCCTGTTCAATGAATTATGTCGGTGTTATCATGACAAATGGGAATTTGTCAGCTTGGAGAGAAGAAGCTATTGCCTTGGCAATAGCCTAGGGTTTTAAGAGATTTCTGTGACACGTATTTGTCCAATAACTTCATTAGATGTAAGCCAATCCTAGGACTGGAAGTTTTAAATGTTGACCAAAGGTGGCCAGTTGGCACTCCATGTTACCCATTACTTGGAAACTTCATTAGGATTACCTTCATATATTTAGAAAGATTATACTGCAATAAGTTTTCATACTCTCCCTTGAATGACCCTCAATTCTAGTTTTCTCTTCCTCTATTCTCTCCCCATAACCTCCTGTTTTTGTTGACTCTGCCACAAAATTCACCTGTATAACTTATTTTATTTCCCCTCCCAATGAGATTGATGTGTTCCCCTACTGCTTTCCTCTATGCTTAATTCCCATGGGCTTATGGATTACAGGATGATAATCATTTACTTTAAGACTAATGTTCACATATGAGTGAATACATAGCATATTTAGCTTTCAGGGTCTGCCAAAAATTATGTTAGAATTTAGATGGGAATTGCATTGAATCAGTATATTACCTTTGGTAGGATGCAAGTACTACCAATCCACGAGCATGGGAGTTTTTAATCAGTCATCTGCTATCTGATTCAATTTCTTTCTTAAAAAATTTAACAATTTTATCATATAAGCCTTTCACTTGCTTTATTAGAATTATCTCGATAGTTTACATTATTTAATGCTATTGTGAATGCTATTGTTTTCTTGACTTGTTCCTCAGTTCATTTATTATTTGCATATATGAAATTTGCTACTTTTCTGAATTAATTGTGTATACAGGTAAATTACTAAAAGTGTTTATCAGATATTCCCCAGTGCAATTTTTTGGATCACTTATGTATATGGTTATACAATCTAGGAAGAAAGATAGTATGCATTTTCTTCATTTGTCTTATCAATCTACTTAAGACTTCAAGTACTATATTGAATATATAGAGAAATCATGAACAGACTTATCTTGTTCCAGATTTTAGTGGAATTGCTGTCCCATGTAACTTGATGCTGACTATTGTTTTGTTGTAACTGAATTATGGTGATTTAGAGCCCTTTTGTCCCTAATCTCTCCAGAACTTTTATCTTGAAGGGATACTAGAATTTTGTCAACCACCTAATAAGATGATGATATGTTTTCTTTCTTTCAGTTTACTTTTATCGTTATTATAACTATTGATATATATGTTGAAACATTCTTGTCTCTCTAGAATTCAGCCTATTAAGGGAGGATGAACTTTTGGATGAGTTCTTGAATTTGGATTGTAAGTATTTTATTGAGTATATTTTAAAATGTATATTCATAAGGGAATTTGTTCTTTATTTCTCTTTATTTAATCTTTATGTGGTTTAAATGTTAGGATAACAGCTGTCAAATTAAATTAATTGAGCAAAGTTCCTTATGTTTTTATTTTCTAGAATAATATGAAGAGAGTATTGGTATTAACTCTTGCTTGAAAGAATGATAGAATTCTTCTTTAAAACCCTCTAATTTTGAGACAATTTTGATTGGGATATTTTAAATAATTGTTTCTATTTCCTTAGGGGTTATAAGTCTATTTAAATTGTTTGTCTTGTCATGATCTAAAATGAGGAAGTGGTACCTATTAAAAATTATCCATTTCTTTCAGATATTCCAGTTTGATGGAGTATAGGTTTTTAAAGTGGGACTTTATAATTCTCTGGAATTCCTTGATGTCTAGATTTTGGTCCTTTCATATCTGATTTTGTTAATTTGGATATCCTCTCTATACCCTTTAGATGAATTGACATATGGTTTGTAAATCTTATTACATTTTTAAGAAGCAACTCTGTTTCATTGATTCTTTGTATTGTTTTCTTTGTATTTATTTTATTGATTTCAGTACTGACTAAGAGGTCAGAAAATTATGAATAACAAAATTGTTTATTTCTTGCCAGTATTTCCTTTTTGCTTATTTCTTGCCAATTATTTTCCTTTTGGTGTGATTTTATCTTTCTGATCTAGAGCTTTCAGGTGTTTTGTTACATTTCTATATGATAACTCTCCAGATATTTTTTAATTAGGCACTTCATGCTGTAACCTTGCCTCTAAGCACCATTTTCATTGCGTTTATATTTTCATTGTATTCTAGAAAGTCTTTAAATGCTTCCTTAATTTCTGTCTTGAACACTTTTTCATTCAGGAGAGAGTTGTTCTGTTTCCATGAGTTTGTAAGCTTTCTGTTGTTTCTGCTGTTGATATCAGTTTTAATCAGTTATGTTCTCATAGGATGCTGGGTATTGTTTCAATTTTTTTCTATCTTCTAAGAATTGTTTTGTGATGAAGTATGTGATCAATTTGAGATGAAGTTCTGTGAAGTACTGAGAAGAAGGTATATTCTTTTGTGTTTGGGTGAAATGTCTGTAGATACCTGTCAAGTTCATTTGAGTCATAACATCTGTTAGTTCTATTCATTCACTGTTTAGTATTTGTCTGGAAAACCTGTCTAATGATGAAAATGAAGTACTGAAGTCTCCCACTATAAATCTGCAAGGGTCTAATTTATTTAATCATTAGTACTGTTTCCTTTACAAACCTAGGTGCCCTTGCATCATCATTTGTGGTATAGGTGTTAAAAATTGAAAGATCATCTTGGTAGTACTAGTAGCATTCTCTCTCTCTCTCTCTCTCTCTCTCTCTCTCTCTCTCTCTCTCTCTCTCTCTCTCTCTCTCATGTTTGTGTGTTTGCCTGCTGAGAATATTTATCCATGTCATATT